ATGGTGTTCTCGCTTTCTCCTGGGCGGTCATGTCGGCCGCGCGTTTGACCTGCTGTGACCTTGGCGTGGTCGGAGGTGTTGGCGTGTTGCCTTTAGGCTTGGCCTTTGGTGGGCCTTTCGGAGCCTTAGACTTGGGGCCCGGGGCTGCGTGAACATCAACAGGCTGTTGTTTATCCTTCTTGGCCTTTTCTTTCTTTTCTTTCTTTTCCTTCTTTTTGTCCTCCTTGGACTTCTCTTTCTTAGGTTTATCGGTCTTGGCGGGATTAGCGGGGATTGCTTTAGGGTTATATGTGGTGGCTAAATCGGCAGTATGGGAATCCCGCAACTTCTTATCGAAGGCCTGCCTGTTAGCTTTGATCCGCTCTAACTCTATATGCAAATCCACCTTCTCCCACAACCATTTAGTGGACCGACGACGGCTTCCTAGTGGGGACTCCCTTGACTTAGCTATTTTGGCGGCTAATGGGAGAACTGCTCAAGCTCGTCCAAAAGATGATTAAACAGAGTTGTCTCTCTCGGCAGATCCTCAGAAGGAATCGCGGCAAGGATGTATCTGTACTTCTCCTGGAAGGTTATGAGGTCCTCGGTCTTCTGCCCCAATTAGCCTTAGGGTCAGGAGGTTCCTCTCGCCTAGCATGCCGATTCTGTCCTTCTCTAATTGAAAATGACGAAAAATCCTAGCAAGCGTGACGCGACCACAAGGCATGCCAATACCAGAAAGTCGAGATTCTTCCACCATCCGTTGAAAAATGATACCAAATCTACCTGATTTGCACACCTTCAACATTTTCGTGGCAATCTCCCGATCAGTTCTAGGGAACCGCTTGTCACCACGAAGGGCGGAATCGTCCTTGGTAAGACATTCTTGGGCCCAGTGATACAAGTCTGAACCTGGGGTTTTCTGCAACGAACCGATGTTCATGAGAACCTGGTTGATGTAGCCCCGTGCTTGACCCGAATCAACTGGTATGTTGGGTAGAATCAGGTTTGTCAAGCCCTTGACATAAACAATCTCGGACTCATGTTCCGCATAGTCGGTAACTTCCGAACTAGCAGTCGGGGTTGATTCTACTTTATGATCTTCTTTATTCATAGTGAGATGTGGGCACCTAATCTCCCGATGCTTGCCTCCGCACATCCTACACGAGTCTTCTACTTCGCTATCACTAGACGAAGAGGACGAACTCGGGGAGCTACCACCATCTGCTTTCTTGGTCCGCTCAAAAACGGGGAAAGAAGGTGGCAAGACCCTTGCTCCTGGTTGTGGTGGAGGTGGTTGCGTCGAAGACGCTGCAACATTCGCGGCGGAAGTGGGATACCCGGCCGGCATGGGAGCACATGCGCAAGGCTTCGGACACGCACTTAGTACCTGGGTCGGAAGACCTGGTGGTGGTGTCGGCGCCATACGAAATGGCATAGGCACTCCATGTTCAGGTGGTGAGGGGATATTTGCCGGTCCAGCATGCACTAACGACAAGACTTGGTTCAACATCTCCCTCGTCTGACCTAGCTCACGTTCGAGCGCAGCAACATAAGTTGAGTCACGCTGCACAGGGGTGGCAACACCATGTGGTGTGCCGACAGGCGTTCCGACATAGAATTCTTGTGGAGCACTCGTTTGAAAACTCTTTGGAATTTGCATATCGACAGGTTGTGCTGTCGGAGGCATATTGCTATGCTGGGCCGCCTGAAAAGGCGCAGCAAACTCGGAGCTTTCGTACTGGTGGCTCAATGTCGAACGGACGCTGTGAAGCGGTTGTGTTGAGGGCGCTGGAGAAACTGCCGGTGGTTCCTTTGGGGAACTTGGGACTGGCGATCTCGCGGCCAATTGTAGTTGCTGGGTTAAGTAAGCGTTGTGCCTCTGAAGTTCCAACAGTTCGGCACTTGCGGTCGTGTTGACCTGGTCTACATGGGCACGATATGCGGCCTCCACACCGGACGCCCATTGATGAGCTTGTTGCTCCAATTGGCGTTGACGCTGAACATGTTCATGTTGTTGGGACTGAACGTACTGTTCAGCTTGAGCCCTCACATGACCGACCATAGCCTCTGCCTGAGCCCTAGCTTGTCCTACCATGTTCTCAGCCTGCTGGCGAGTTTCATGGACAACGAATTGAGCCTGGGACTGGACATGGGTCGCATGTTCTTCGGCTTGGGCAGCTAGTTGCCTAGCCCGCATCGCTTCGATGGCTTGTTGTTGTTCGGCCATCGACGCGGCGTGGTGCGCTATGTGTGCGGCCTGGTTGGCCTCTTGTATTGCTGCTCCGGCTACAAAAGCAGCCGCCGGCGTATTAGGGTCTATCGGATTATTAGTGTAAGGTTGGGACGGCTTAGGCACGGAAGCTAGTGATATGAAGGGTACCGGTCGTTGACTAGAACTACTAGGAACCCCCCTATCCAAAAGCTCCCTGCCACGCGCACTCGCGCCACGGTGCCGCCTGGGCTCCTCCGACGAACGTGACTCTTCCGCCATTGTCCTGGGACCAGGGCGGGGCTCGACGCGATTCTGACGCGTACCCCGGGCTCTGGTGGTGATGGTGACCGACGCGGCCGGGACCCTACCTCTGCTTGTGGCTGTGTCGAACTCTGGCGACGAGCGAGACCGACCGGCGGAGGAGGGGTCCGAGGGAGGTGTGATACCTGTATGGTTCGCCATCCTTTCCCCACGGCGTGCTAGCAGACTTTTGCATGCGCGAAACGAAAGGGTCTTTGCCCAGGCCCGCGCTTTCAGCAGCATGGCCTCCGCGCCAATGGGCAGCGGCACGAGTGCATTAACATGAAACCAAAACAACAACAACAACAAAGTTGAAAGTAATGGTATGGTTGTTTGAGGTCATAAAACATGTGATCATCAATGCACCCAGGAACATGCCTACCCTAACGAACGAAGGGCCCGCGCGTAAAGCAGCGGCTGGCATGACAGGTCACCGGCGACGGCGGCCGCCGCCACGACCGCCTTGGCCCGAGTATTGTTGAAGCACAAAGGCCTGTAGCGGATGGTGAGCGTCCCAGTGGGCTAGGCGCGACCATATGTAGTCGGTTAACACCTGTATTGCCCCACTAGTCTCCTGGGGATAGTCACGGGCATTAAAGCCCATGGCAGAACAGCCTGTTCTTCGAATTTCGGCGAGGATGTCCGCACGGTCATCCATGAAAGCTCTGATTCGAAGACGGCTTATTAGTTCTGCCTTCCCGCCGCGCCCGGTTTTCTCGTTAGTCAAAAAGAAACCTCCGCCGAGTTGACATCCGGCGGCACGGCACTGGTCCCGGAATGCGTCAATTTCCTGAACCGTTGACTCGTAGCGGTCGCCCGCTCCGGTAAAGGAAATGATGGTGATGCGTGCCGGTAATGACTCGAGTTGCTTGAGGCGGTCCGTCAAGATATTTGTCGGAGTGCGAACAGGCGACAGCATAGTGTCTAACACTTTATGCCAGTCAAGGCCTACCTCAAACACACCGGCTTGTGCGGGAATTAGTGTTAGGGGATCAGCAAGTTGCTGTCCGAACAAGCGGGGCAACTGGTTAGGCTGATATCTCGTAGTGGGTTGTATGCTCCTAGGTGTGTCAGAGGGGGGACTACCGGAAGGAGGTCGATGCGGGGCAAGTCTTCCGCCGGACGGCGGCTCCTCATGACTGTCGGCGCGTGAAACAGCCGTAGGTGCCCACCACGAGTTGTCTAACACTGGAGGTGCGGCTGCCGAAGAGGCAGCTTGCGAGGCCCATGCGGTATCATGAGGCACTGACGGTACACCAGCAGGCTTACCATATGGGAATGGGTAAGGACTAGGTGGTGGTGGCTTCCTCTTAGGAGTTACAGGTCTCGGAGGAGCTGGCTCTAATTGTCGACTTGGATCCCGCTCCCAAGAAGCTGATCTTCCAGTTAGCGAACCTGGCGGGGTCTTGTATGGAAGCCCCGATGCGGTATGCTGGCTAGGTGGTCGATCAGGTGATTTAGGTCTTGGGGGTTGCTTAGGGGATCTTGGGGTCGATGGCTCGCCTTGGTCGTCGTCACCATCCCCGGGTGGAGTTGGATCAGACGGGGCTGCAGCCGTGAGTCCCGCGCCAACTGGTACACGAGCACCAGCCGGCAGCGGCTTGCCTGTGTTGTCGGTCTCCACGCGCACGGGTCTGTTACGCTCTTCGAAGGCCTCGAAAGCTCGCCGTTTGGCCTCGGCAGATAACTGTCTCGCCTCGGGCGGCGGTGGCTTAATTAACCTTAGTAGGAGACCTAGAACGAACAGGGCGCGCCGTCGTAGGCGGCTTTGGCGGTGGTGGAGAAGCTGACGAAGACTCGATTGATACCGCCGGAGGCGGCGTGCTGTGGGACTTCGACGCTTTGACGACAGGCGGCTGAGACACCGGAGGCGCAATTGGCGTAGCACTTGCTTGGGCTGTATCTCGCGCCTGAGGCGGCGGCTGAGGCAGACCGGATGGCACCAACACCGTTTCAGTGGCTGCTGACAGTTGGGGCTCATGGAGTGGGACCCTAGGACCTGCAGCTACTGATGCACCCTTAGGCTTATTCTTAGGGACTACAATCACTTGTCGAACATGCGGGGGCGATACGGGGGGCGTCCCCTTTAGTGCATCGGCGGTTACGACGACACGAACTCGCTTGGATGCTGGCTCGGCAAGTTTAGGTTTAGGATGATGGGCTAGGGCGCCCTTGGGACGTTCACCGTCAAGCCAGGTTAGCCAGCCGGCGTCCTCGGTTCGACCCTCTAGGTTACGAATGCGTCGGGAGCGGGCTTCAGGATCGGAATTGTCCGAATCTTCTGCGTCTAGCTCATACACATCTGCATTCGGATTGACCTGGATGGTAGACGACGATGGGAGCAACTGGTCCCCTTCGGCTTGAGGAGTGCTAGACCAGTCAAGGTCGTACACGCGGTCTCGAGCTTCTTCAATTGGCATTGAATGCTCATGCTCACGGTCCCATTGGGTCCTACGAAAGCGAAAGGATGTCAAATGTCGATGAATGAATGCACCGGGACCCAGGGTCATAACGACCGGACGAACTGGTTCCGCGCCAGAGGCAGCGGCTTTTGCACTCGTTGTCGGTTGGTCCTGATCTGATTCGAGCGCCTCACGTCCTCCTCCTCCTCGACCGTGACCTCTGGCTTTGCCTGCGACAATGCTTGCTCGAGATCACCACGAAGAGCTGCTCCGCCCAGCGCATTGGATGCGTCAGCCTTAGCATGTGCGAGATCGCTGCTTTGTGGTTCGAGGGTATCGTCTTGTTCATGCGAGTTGATCGGCGTCGCGACGAACAGGAGGCACCGCTCCGCTTTGACGGGTCTGAGTACCGGGATTTGCTCAGGGTTGCTACGAGTCCACTTAGGTATCATCGGCTTAAGGGGACCGCGGTAGCTATATTCATTTGGTCCCGGGGCATCAAGAGGTTCCGACTCACCGTATGGTACGGATGGCGCCGGCTCGAACGGGACAACGTACGAAGGACCGTCTTGTGAGCTAGCTTCTGTCGGCGGACTTGGTGCCGGACCCTTGGGCGGAGGTGGAAGTCGAAGGGGTGATGATGGCTTAGGGACCTCTACGAACGTAGCTCCAGCCTTGACCTGGGTCGACCCTTTGGCCTGCGGTGAGATGACCGGCGGGACTTTCGGGGGAGGACTAGGTGGGACCGGCTTGCTGGCAGACGTATGCGAGGTACCCGCGCCAGAGGCTGCGGCTTGCGTGGTCTTCGGCTCTGCCGGGACAGACTTTGGCTCGGACTCAATCCCTTTTGACGTTGACTTACCCGCCTTAGCTTTTGAGGCCTTGGCCTCAACCTGCGAACGAGGCGTCAACACAATCGGGGTATGCCCACGCTCAAGCGTAGGGCGCCAAGGCGCTCCTGCTGTCGAGGCACTGGCTGTCGAGCAGCGGATCGAGACCGATCGGCGCGTGGAGGCGCGGCCGAAGACGAGGCCTTCGAATCGGAGTTGAACACTGTCCTGGGCGGAGCGGCCGAACGCACATGGCGGAGAGGCACGAAGGGATGGTCCGAACTCCAGTACCCTCTTGGCAGTCTATACTTGGGTTGTGGCATGCCCTGCAATAGTGTGGGATCGATCGAATACAAGAATTGCCAGAGCTCAGGTAAGATAGTTGCCCATCGAGTGATGGTATCTACCGGCAAAAGCTCACCTTCTGCATCGAAAGCCCACCTGTCGGAATGGCGAAGGACGTACCCGAACCACTCCGGATACTGCCTGCGCGCGACTTGCGGGGGAATGTGAGGGAGATTGAAGCGGCGGCCGAACCGTGCGTACGTGGAATCACCAAGTTGGGCACTGATGTATTCACACGTCGTCCCATAGGAGAGGTTCTCGCGGCCTGCAACGCGCTTGGCCCCGGCACGACACCCCCTCCGTCGGGTGCGATCTCTCTCACCCCTTCCCGCGCCAGTGGCAGCGGCTTCACCGATACCTAGATCCGCTGGCTCAGGCTCAACGCCTGCGGCTTGAGCGGACTCCTTAAGTGCAGTCTCCAAATCGTACTGCTCTTGAATGCGTTGGGCAATCTCCTCATTCACTGCCTCCTCGGCTGAGGAGTCCTCGTCTTCACCCAAAGGATCGAACAAGTTGTTAGTGAAGAGGGGAGGACTATTAGGCGTTGGTGAGGCCTGGGCAATTAGGGTTTCGGGTGGCACGAACTCTTCAGGCTCCTCCTCCGCAGGGGCTGGATCGCCTTGGTCTGCAAGATTGGGGGCGTTCGCACTAGCCGAGGTCGTCTCCTCTGGGACCGGATGGTCTTGGTCAGGGGAGGGATGCACTTGGGTATCACCTAACGAATGCTCAACCACGGGGGCCTGTTGGCCTTCGGCTGTGGGGCTATCGAAAGGGTTGGCCTCAGCATCGTCCAAAACCTCTTGGTCTGCTGGACCAGCGAAGGGCTCTTCAAGCTCGAGGTCTCTGTCCTCGTGTTCCATCACGGAAGGCGGAAAGATGGTCGGGCCAGATCCTGCACTAGAGGCTGCTCCTGCCCATCTCGAGCTATCTGAACCCGCGCCTGCGGCAGCGGCTGGTGGGTCTTGGTTGTCAACGAACAAGTTCAAAGCATCAACGGCTTGTGAACCGAGTTCCGACAAGGACGTCACCTCAACCTCTGCCACACCCTTGCCAGCTCCCCACGAATCCGCGCTTGGAGCAGCGGCTTGCATGGCGGCTGCTGGCTGGGATCTTGGGTCAGGATTGGGGGCAACACTTGGTCCTAGCGACGAATCCGCGCCAGAGGCTGCGGCTTGCGCAGGCTCAGGGCGTGGGGACCTAGGAGGTGTAACCCTTGGCATTATGTCTAAAAGAGGCGGACTATTAGAGCTCGTAGGTTGGTTAGACCTACGGCTGATAACCAATGAAAGTGACAAGGGTTCCGGGATATCAGCCCCAAACAGCCACCACAACCTACGGAGTGGGAGGTGTTGGGAAAGGTATCCTATCGTGTGGAGAACCCTGGCACGGGATGGAACGCGACGGGGAACACCGGAAGGATTGGTACCCGTTGCGAACGAGGTGTCGTGCGGACGAAGGGAGCACGGTACGGCAACCTATCGAAATGCACGAAAAGCACGAAAGCGAAGTGACACGGCGCGACCGAACGAAGCGACGTGCACGAGCGCTGAAACGACCGCGGGCGCAATCGTTTCTTGAGCCATAGCGACGGTCGGAACGAACGTCAAAGCCTGTACATGAACACTTCATGACACAGCAAGTTAGGGGTTACCACTGTATGTGATATTTTGACTATCATAGAATCAATTCCTTCAAGAAATATATCGTTTGCGTTCAACTGACTTAGATCTGAAGCAACTCCATTGCCTGCGGGTTGAATACTGATGGTGACTCCTCCTGCACAACACGCTGGTGCATAAAATCCATGTGCCGTGCTAGCAGGTCTTTTGGGTGTATAGGATCGACACAAAGTCACAAAGCCACATGCAAAGGCAAAGGTGAGAGCTCTATGTAATACGTTGAGCCCCTGCACAATTTCACACCCCAGTCCTCTTGGCAAAGTTCACTATAAACTTCTGCATATGCATGCTCTTCAGACCTTCAAGTGTTTGGTCATGCGCTCATTGCATCAGGAGTACATGTTTGTTTATTCAATTCTGCTGGGAGCGAGTGTTGCTATGTCTGAAGTAGTCCAATGGTGCGATTAGTCGATCCATTGGATCCAAATAGCTTGTCTATCTTGCAAGACTTCTGACTCTTGCTTGTGGATGGGTTTCCGGCTGGTCAATCTGCTCGGCTATAGATTCCAAGAGCTGCCTGAAAGTTCACGGAAGCATGGCTGTGAATGCCGCACGGCATGGTAGACAACGGAACCAATGGTCTTCATGTTACTGTTAAAGTAAATCTCATCTGCTGAGGCATCAAAGAAGTTGACAGTCACTTTCGTCACGCGAGCTAATTGCGCCTGTTCCTCTCCTTGGATGGCAATGCATGAAGGACAGAAAACCATTTTCGCACTTCCATTAGTGCATCAATATACATGTGGCTGCATGGCGTATTGGCACTGCTAGGGTTGGTTCTTTCAAGGTGTTTATTACGCGGAAGCGCTTGCCACCTTCAACCGCAAATATCAGCCTCGGCCAAAAGGCTTTCTGATCCACCCATGACGCAAAGGCTTGCACGGGCCAAGCTTAGGTGGTGTTGGCTGGCTTAGGCTTGAGGAAATAATCCAAACAAGGGTTCGCTTATGCACAAGAAACATTGATTATGAGAACCTGTGACGAAGGGGGTGTGAGCCTTGCCCATAACAACAGCGCGGTGCATATCTAAAAGGCCCTGTTGCAGCCATGCCACATCTCTTTTTGCCCTGGCTGCTGCTCTTCTAGCATCTTCCTTGTCCTGGCAGCCACGTGATCACATTACCTTATCTGCACAGATTCTAAAACAATACTTCGAAGCGGGGCAGTGTAAGTCACATCTTTTTGATCTCTTCTTGTTCTAGTCAAAGCCATGTATTAGACCAACGTGCAAGATGATATCAAAAACTGTTGCTAGACTCCGCTAGACTTCCCAGAACAGGGCTAGTCATCAAAAGACACGGTCAATGTATTGTCACACATGTTCCACGCTTGGCCAACTCTAAAGCTTTGGGAACCAGGCTTCGGTATGGGTGTGTGTGGCTTGTGAGGCATGTGCTTGACACAAACCAATCAATGCACAAAAGTCCGAAGTATTGGAAAAACTGCCGCCACACTAGCCTGCATCATTCATAACTATGACTGGCATCTGCAAAGCCTTACCCAGCAAGACAAAGACCCAAGTGTGCCTGCTTGGCTTTGACCTTTGCCTTGTGACAGGTGCAAATTGAAGAGTCATGGTGTCCAATTACTGGTATTTAGTTCATGGTGTCTAATTCGTTTGGGAGATCTGATTGACACCTTGAGGTGGTCTGTTGGCCACCTCAAGCTCACTTTGCGACTCGCCAACACCGAAAAAGAAAACTGCTTGTAACGAAGGTCCACTGAACTTCACAAAAGGCAAGTGAATTTTCTGCATCAAGGCCAGGCTGCACTGTTAAAACACACAAGAGAACTGATGTGTTGAACAAGTAGGAAAACAATGGAACAAAAAGTTCAGGGGCCCATACTGTCCTTCTTCCTCCCCTCGTTTCTGGGTCGGATCTGAAGGTTTTTTGTTGAACCACCCTGAGAACAATAGCACGACAACGACCGAGGCCTCATGGGCTTGGCGAGCTGCCTCACGCTTGGCTCCTGCAGTACGATGAGCTATGAGCTCGGCAGTACCATGAGCTATGAGCTCGGCAGCTCAAGCCGGCGTGTCCCAAAAAACTCGCGAACCACCAACCAATCATGTCGCATGCCAACAATCAATGAAATAACATGAACCGACGGTCTATCAATCTTACCTTCCTCTCTGATACAGGTTCAAGTTTGAGATATGGTGAGATACAAAAGCGCCAGCAACCGTCTTTCAGTTGTCCAACCCCCTCCTTGGACGTTCTTGTCGTAGTTCACCATGGCAGCAGCGAGACTGTGGACAAGAAGCAGTGGAAAGTCTTGCAGTTCCAGAAAGAACTGGGTTAGTGAGTGGTTCTGGTTCACCAAAGGTTCAAGTTGTGATTATCTTAGAATCATTCTGCGTGACAATAGATCTTGCACAACAAGTCCGTGGGTGGCCCGTCTTCGAGAAAATGCCTTTCAACATCTTTCAACTCTCAATACTCCTTCGAGCCAACGGTTGATAGGTCATCCTCCAGGCGACTTTTGGGGCTAGTTCACAACATGGCGATGGAACATATGTAGAGCGACAAATACACAGCATTTCTTCATATTCAATGTCAACGGTTCTAAAGCAATAGAAAGTAATGAGGGCACATTAACTTCAATCAATCAGCACAAGTCTTTCGGGCCGTCTGGTCTGTTACACAAGACACAGCAAGCGTTACCTTGTGCCCAAAAAGCACACAGTGTAGAAAAACATATGGCAAAGCAGCACCACGGCCCCTTCCAAGCATGGTGATGCGGCACCCACTGCTTGTCCGTGATGGTGGAAGCTAACTCCACCTACAGCAAAGTAGTTCAGGCAACAACCTCCGCTCACACTCCAACGCATGAGGTTCATTTGAGACATACGTATCTGATCGTCTTGGATTTCATGCTATTTGCAAATATATCAGCAACACTCCGCTTGTCAGCAAATCCAAGAATTTGGCATAGGAGAATGCCTTCAAACACGACCGGTACTGTAGTAGTATGAACGCGGGTGCGACGCTTTTGGGAAGGCTCATCAAATTATTACATTTTGTTCAATGTTCAATTCGCAGTGGTTTTCAAAAGGCATGAAACAACTGGTGGAGTCTTGTTCAATTCGCAGTGGTTTTCAAAAGGCGTGAAACAACTGGTGGAACCATAATATGAAGCAACTGGTGGAGTCATAATAATCTGAAGGATCGCATTACAGGACAGGTGGACTGTCAGCTCCTTCTTTACGGCTTTAGTCAAGGATGCTTCAGTCATCCTCAATCCATCCTGTGAGTCCTGAGAAGTTGAGTTGCTAGATAGTATAGCTCAAGCTTTAGCTTGGGGGTGCTTTTGACTTTTGAAAACGGACGAAAGATCAGCAAGGCATCGGTGATGTCGGTTGTTCTGCCCGAGTGAGGCTGCATTATTGACATCCTGTGTGCTTGCCCCTGTGGAGACGACCGAGACAGACAGACCGAGACAAACAGACGCACAGATGCGGGCGGCTTCGACCGCGAAGCGGTGTGAATGAGTGCATACTGGTACACATATCGGTGTGTTTCTAGGTCAGCCGGCAATGTCGACCAACAATTTGAGTTGGGATCATCACGACAAAAGCACAACCACATCCCAACAAGTGTTCACTTAATTTGACCCCTGCCTCGGCCAGCAGGTTGTACTCATGTCTTCCAGGGAAGCGCCGAATGCGCCAAACCACTGCACCCTGGCTGTTGCAAGCCAACTTTAAAGGTGACAAACGGATAATGATTCATTTGACGTGCTACTGTTTCCTCCTACAGTTGCCTTACGGAGCCCCAAGGAGTCCCACCTGTGCAGGATCAAATCGTGCTTTTCCGTGCCTCAGGGAAGTTGAAAATTTGAGATAACAAACCTCTCGTGCTTGCAAGTTGTGACAGTGTAGAAGCCAAAGAAGCAAAGTCTTTCATGGAGGCCATTGCTATTAGGTGAGGCCATTGCTCTTGGGTTGGAGGCCATCACTCGTAGGTTGGAGGCCATGGCTCTTAGGTTGGATGCCATCGCTATTAGGTTGGAGGAGGCGAGTTGGAGGCCATAGCTAATAGGTTGGAGTTGGAGAACATCGCTCTTAGGTTGGAGGCCATTGCTATTAGGTTGGAGGCCATTGCTATTAGGTTGGAGGCCATGGCTATTGGGTTTGAGGCCGTCGCTATTGGGTTGGAGGCCATTGCTATTAGGTTCGAGGCCATCATCATGCCATCGCCATTAGATTGGAGGCAAGCACTATTGGAGGCCATCGCTGTTAGGTTGGAGGCCAGTGCTATTAGGTTCTTCCATGAACATGAATTTTCAAGCCGAGAAGCGCTGTGTTTGGAATGTGAGCCTTGGCCGTGTTTTTCGGGCAAGGGAAGTCAATCCGAACCTGGGCCGCATCAACCAACAAGACATGACACAACTGACTGTCCTTAAAGTCC